TACAATACTGAGCAAGCTGTTTATCTTCTCAGAAGATTTAGTTTTGTCACCCAGAAAAACAGATATGATATCTGAAGCAGAGCGACTTCCCAAGATTGTAGGGTGATATGTAAGTGTGCAGAAAGTATGATGCGATTTAGAACATTTTACTTAGCAGGAAACTTTTGCAGAGATGCACTATCACCAAATTGGCCCACAGCTGTAGCATGCATGTGGTTTTAACACCTCAAATGATTTTTGGTTGCAGCCATGCTTCCATTTTATAATTGTGATGATCCTATGGCAATCTTAATTTTCTAAAAAAACTGTTGGTGATTTAACTTTCACTAAAAAAGGGGCAAGCACTTAGAAAAAAATTCACTTTGATATCCCTTATTCTTTTTTCTTCCCCTCTATACTGTCAGAGGATAAAGCTTCATTCCTAGATGGGATGTAAAAATGACTTTTGAACACATAATCTCAGGGAGTAAGTAGCCTGAGTAGTCTTCCAATTGTAAAATGTCCAGAAGTATATCTAATAATAGATGGGTCTGCTATAAGGTATTCACTTGGTTTTACATATCAGTGACCATAAAGTCAAAAGCCATTTTATTCACCTAACTTACCAGTAAACTTAGATACATTATGATTGATGTCTTTCAATATTAGGTTAAATTGGAACCAACTGCAATATATGGGGAGATGTTTAAAACAAAATATTTTAGACTATCCACATTCTACAATGCACATTTTTTCCCATTTGTCCATAGATGGTAATTTTAATGTTCTATACTAAGCTCAATATACAGGCAAGAATGATTGCAAGAAAATCTCTGCTTTTCAAGTAAGCTAAAGTAAAAGTATAATATACTCAGGAGCATTTGCACACAATTTTGGTGGTAATAAAGTCACCTTTAATTTTGCAATGTAGTAGTTGCTGTTTGGATGTTATATGATCATTTTGTATAACCCAGAGCCACTCCGGATCAGTCTTATTTGATGAACTAGGTGTGTTGGAAAAGTCTCACCTGGCCTTTTCAGCAAGCTTCAGTGAAGCTCAAACTATGGGGATAATGAATGGGTATGAGCCAGGCCAACAGGCTTCTAGCTGGGATGAGAAGTATAGGAGCTATGGTGAGCTCATTCATGTTTTGCTATTAGCTTGGGTGGAGGGGGGAAGCAGAGAAACCTGATTTGTCGAATTTGCTAATTCCTGTGGTGTAAATGCTCCCACTTCAGCTGATTTCAGGCGACTAATGGTTTAATAGCCTGTTCACAACATTCCTGGAAACTTAACGGTCAGCTCACACAAGCTTGTGTGAGCCAACTCCAGCATATTAGTAAGATACAGTGTGGAGGAAGGGACAAGAGGATCCCCACACCCACACCCTGTCAACAGAAAGGGCTGAGAAAAATTACCCTCAAGTCCAAGAGTCAGCCAAAAAGAGATAGGGATTTACTGTATTCTTTGTTTTTAAGTTGCAGAGGTTAGATCACTACTACCTAGCAATATAACCCCCTTTCTCCATTTCCTATGTGAACTCATTGGCCAGTTCTACATTGGTCACTATTGAGAGAGCTCAAAAAGGAAGATGGGTACAGTCAGTGTATGGGTTACTCATGGAAAAAGGCGGTAGTAGTTTAGCAGGACACATACACACACACAAATGCATGCCTTCTTTAATGCTAAGAAACTGGGAAATTAAGAAGGGTGAATTGGATTACTGGACTGAGAAATCTGACTAATGAGCTATTAAGTTCTAATGTGAGAACTCTCAAGCAATACAAATGAAGAAGGGCGGGGCTTTAAATGGGAGATGTATAAATAGAAAAAGTCAGTGGAAGTCAGTACTGAGGGAAGTTTTAAGTGGAAGCCATAATCCAAGCTTGGAGCTTATTCCGAATAATTTATGACTTCATTGCATGTTATATTTATATTTAAACATGCATTTCCTAGGTTAACAAAAACAAATCAGCATGTCATAGTAATTGTGCTGGTACAGAAATGGTCAGACCTCAAAGTCCTGAGGGGAAGGGAGAGTCTGAGAAACCAACATGCAAACTCATAATTAAATTCAATGTGAGAGAGGATATTATAGAAATGTTGGTCAAAGCAGTCTGAGTGAGAGCTCATAGGAAGTAGTAACTTATTAACTATCCAGGAAACTCTTTAAAAAAGCATATCAATTTAAATATACTCTAGGTTCATAATAAATCAAATTTCAAATTTTAGATATTTGATCCTTAAAAATGGCTGATATATAGTGCTTATTATCTTAGTTATAGCATCATGGAAAATATAATTTTTCATTTAGTAATAAACATTTAAAAATTTTTTGAGGATAAATAATGTTCAGTGAACTTCCTCTTAAGTGAATAATTTGTCAAGTGCTGGCATATGTTTACATTTCTACATCATCATTAGATGATGATGTCATCTCTGAATAAAGACAGTTTTACTATTTCCTTTTTAATCTGGATAGCTTTATTTCCTTTTCTTCTTTATTGCATTTGTTGGACCTCTGGTACAATGTGGAATAGACATGGTGAAAGTGGACATTTTTGCTTTGTTCCTGACCTTAAGGGGAAAGCATTCATCATTCAGTCTTTCACCATTAAGTGTGATCCTAGCCATAGGTGTTTTTGTAAATGCTCTATCAAGTTGTGGAAATTCCCCTTTATACTAAATTTTCTGAGAGATTTTGTTATTGTTGAATGTTGGATCAGGTCAAACCCTTTTGTGTACTGAGATCATTATTTGTGTTTTCTTTTTGAATCTGGTAATACAGTAAGCTACTTTGATTGATTTTACAATAAACCAAATTCCTGATACACACCTCAGTCGGTCACAGTGCTTTATGCTTTCTACATGTTGTTGGGTTCAACTCAATAATATTTAGTTGAAGATTTTTTGCGTCTATCTTTATGTGAAATGTTGTTCTGCCTTTTTTTTTTTTTTTTTTAAATGTCTTTTCATTATTTTTGTATCCAGGTAACCCTGTTCTCATACAGTGAGTTGGGAGGTGTCTTACCCCCTTCAATTTTCTAGAACAGTTTGTATAGAATTGGTATTAATAGTCCTTAAATGTTTGATAAAATTCTCCAGTGAAGCCGTTTGACCCTAGTGTGTTTTGCTTTGTTTTGTTTTGTTTTTTTGTGGGAAGAATTTTGATTACAAAATCAATTTTATTGGCTATAGGCTTTTAACAGCTGTAGGACTATTTTCGTTATCAATTTCTTCTTGTGTGGGCTTTGGTACTTTGTGTCTTTCAACACATATATCCATTCCATCTAAGTCACAAAATGTTTTGGCATAAATTTATTATATTTTAATGCTTTTAAGATTCTTAGCACTCCATCCTCTATCATTTCTGGTACTGTTCATTTGTATCTTTTCTTACTTTTTCTAATCAGTGTGACAACAGTTTTATCAATTTTATTTATGTTTTCAATGAACCAGCTTTTGATCTCATTAAATTTTAAAAATTTTATTAATTTCTACTCTAATATCATTTTTTTATTAATATTCTTTGCTTGGGAATATTATTTCCTTGCTCAAAAATATACTATCAGTAAAGTCCTTCTAACTTTGTTTTAATGATTCTTTTTTTTTTTTACTTTTATTTGCTTATTTATATAAAATATGCTTCATGTAGACAACATGTGGACTGGTTGTTTCTTCCCCCTCCTCCTCCTCTTCGTTTTCGTCTTAGCCTTCCTCTTCATCTTCTTTTTCATCTTCTTTCATCTCCCAGCTTGACATTTTTTGCCTTTTAATTGGTATGTCTAGATCATTTATATTTGTTGAGATTAGTCAGACGGTTGGACCTAAGTCTGCCATCTTGCTGTTTGTTCTCTATCTACCTGTTCTTTGTTCCCTTCCCTCTTTCCCTCCCTTCCTTTGGATTGAGTATTTCTATGATAACATTTTCATAATTTTGTTTGGTTTTGCTGGTTTAGATGAGAAGAATGCATCTTTTTCTTATTGCTGTCTGTTGTCAAATGATTTATACCACTTCTATTTCTACTTCCTGTCCTCTACCTCTTTCTGGCCTTTGTTGTATAGCTGTCATGCATTTATGTCTACATATATAACCACCCCCTCAAACATTATTATGGTCACTTTAAACAATTATCTTTCAAGAAGACAGAAAAGTAAGAAAAAGTCTTTCATAAATATTTACGTATTTTCCATTCCCAGTAGTCTTCATCATGTTCTGTTAATCCAGCTGTCGGTCTGGTTTCATTTTTCTTCTCCATTTTGTTTTCACCATATATTCTATCTCATCGTTGTAGAGCCTTTGATCACTAATAGCTGGCAACTAATGAATAAGTTACTAATTGAAATAAAATTTAAGAGTTTTCTCACTCAAAGGGATATTTGCATTTCAAATGAGAACACAAAGACTAAAGGATATTCTGTGCTTTAGGAATTAATACTTAGTGGTGGAATTTCAGATAGGGAGAGATCTACTGGGGACTGGGATCCTGCTCCGTGCTTCTCAAACTGTACCACAGTACCTATAGATTATTATGTGAGTAAACATCACTCTCAACAGTCCAGTCTCGGTGTTGAATGTACAGTTCAAAATTAAAACTTAAGATAATTATCTGGAAGAAATTTTTGTCTATACATTCCAAGGTAAATGTATGAACTTGAGAGTCTGAAAAAAATCTATTGACTACATATTTATGGCAAACATCTGTAAATATATATTTGTCAATTATTTCAAGGCAAGGTGAAATGCCCACAGGATGTATATATGAGTTGGTGTGCTGTCATGGTTTTCAATATATACTTCACTTATGATATATGCAAACTACAGATCCCTAAACCAACTTAATAATCATTTATAAATTGTATTTTCTTGGTGTTTTGAAATGAGTATGATTTTAATTATTTCTGCCTCACCTTATATCAAAAAATATTTATAGACTAAATCGAGATTATAAAAGTATCTTCTAAGAAGATTTACATATGAAATCATTATTTTCTAATTATATCGACATTTACTTTTTAGGTATTCAGAGAATGACTACCTTCAGATTATCACAGATATACAGAGTTGTCCATGGAAACGGCAAGCAGAAGAATATGCAAATTTCAGGTAAATTTTTTTTTCATTAAGAATATGAGATTTTTAAACTGTCTTGCTCATTTGCTTTGTAGAAAAATCGGCAATATGTTGTTAAAAAGAGAAGTAGAACCAACCCCAGGTGGCAATGAGGCCTATGGAATTCTAAGACCCTCTCATGAGGCACGGGCATTCCATCCCCATCTCTTATGTAGAAATTTGCATTATGTTACTGTTTTCATTATTTAAAAAACCCCAAATTCAAAAGAAAGATTTTATTATGTTTTTAAGTTATATTTTAGAAGATGCTGTGTTTTTTGGTACCATTTACATTTGTTATTTTTTTATTTAGTAAATAAAACGTGATAGCATTAAAGAATGTTTGGAAAACATAATCCATAATCCCATCACTTTAGAACAACTTTTGTTTTCTGCATACACTCTTCCAGTTTTTCCTCATTCACTTTTTAACACAAGTGACATTCAGGGGTGTGAGTTGCTCTAAGTAATAACTCAGGGAGGAGGTGTCAACTGGCAAAACCAGGTTATCACTTGGCCATTGTAGGGTTGTGGTTGGAAAACTTGTAGCCCATCCAGACAAAAATAAGCTTTGTTAAAGCAATATGCAGTGAGGGAGAGTCAATACTTACGTGATAGTTCTTGTCACCCATACCTCCACATACCATAGATCAAGGTCAGTGATCTCTGTGCTTGCTTGGTCTAGATTGCTCTGGTTTTGGTTTGTGAGGGCGGCTTCTTTTCTTTTCCCTCCTCCTTCCTCTTTGTCTTCTTTTTCTTCTTCTTTCTTCTTTCTCTCCTTTCCTTCTCCTCCTCCTCCTTCTTTTTCCTCTTCCTCTTCTTTCCTCCTCCTTTTTTTCTTCTTCCCCCTTCCTTCCCTCCTCTTCTTCCCTCCTCCTCTCCCTTCTTCTCCTCCTTCTCTTCCTTCTCCTCCTCCTCCTTCTCCTCCTCCTTGTCCTCCTCCTCCACTTCCTCTTCCTCCTCTTCTTCTTCTCCTTCTCCTCCTCCTCCTCCACTTCCTCCTCCTTCTCCTCTTCTTCTTCTCTTTCTTCTCCTTCTCCTTCTCTTATCCTTCTCCCTCTCCCTCCTCTTCTGCCTCCTTCTCTTCCTCCTCCTCCTCCTCCCTCCTCCTCCTCTTCATCTTTCTTCTTTCTTCTTTTATCTCCTTTCTCCTTCTTCTTCTTCTTCTTCTCTTTCTTCTTCTTCCTCCCCTCCGCCACCTCCTTCCTTTCCATATTCTGATTCTTTCCTGTACAGTCCATTGCAATTTCATCCTATGCCACATTATTTTATTCTATTATGATCCAGAGACAGGTCTTTATCTTATTTTCAAAGTTTACTCATTATTTTCAAAGTTTACTTGAAGCATTAAACTTATAAAAATATTACTAAAGAGACTTTGCTTTCCCCTAAAATACTCTAAGAAATATCTGGCATGGTTCTCTTTTGCATGTGGGAAGATAATTCTTCTTGTTTGCCTTGTGCAGTGGCTCTGCTGTTCCTTCTTTAGTCAGAATATGCTGGTATAATTGGACCAAGGCCTTTGATTCTGCTACTAATATGAGGGGGTTCTGTTCCACCCCTACTGAATGAAAGAGTACCTTCCTGGTTGTGTCAAAGCCAAAAGTGGGTATCTTCCCTCCACTGGATAGACACATGGATGCCATGACTTCCTGCAGGATACCATTTAGCACCTTTCCTACCTGATATTTTAGGAAGAGAAGCTGGAAAGGGGATTCCTGTTTAACTATTTTATTTCCAAGATGTTTTATGCTATACAATTCTATTTAAGGCTGGATTTAAGAGGTCCTGGTGGCAGGAAGATGAGATTGAAAATTGCACAATCATAACCTGAATGATCACAGGGTCAACAAGTGATAACAGAATCTGATTTTGAGAGACCTTTCTGCATATGAAAAATAGACAAAAAAAAAGGGAGGGGGGAGAGGGAGAGATTCAGGTAGTGAGCTATTGAGGATGAATCTAAGATGATTAGCTGAAAGATAGATTAGTAATGACTAATGATCAGAGGATCTATCTAAGGTAATTAGCTGGAAAGATAGATTAGTAATGACTGTAATGATAAAAGTAGGGAGTATAGGAGCTTTTACTTCTGGCTGTTGAGTTTGGACCAAGCCTCTTGATATTAATGCAAATAAGACAAAGTGTACCAAACACCTGTGTGAGGGCACTGGCATGCCACCAAGTCGGGGCAAATTTAAAGGACTAAAGCCCGGGAGGTGAGGGGAGCCCAATAATAGGGGCTATTTTTCTCACAAGGAACTTGCCAAATATAAAGGCAAAATTTGGCTGAGAGTCAGAGAGGCTGAGCAGAGCTTCCAGCCATCCCTGGAAAAACCAGTTTTCAAAAAAACTGAAGGCCACTTTTGAATCATTTCCATCCTGAGTTGGATTTAGATCTGCCCTTAGCTTAGATGCCTGATAGGAGCAAAAGGAAATTCCCTTTGGAGGAAGGTAATCTTATTCAGAGCCTTAAATCATCTCTCTACGTATTCACTCACGGTGTCTGACTCAATTTCAAAATGATATTATCTGTAAATCTTTTTTCTTTCTTTCCTTTCTTTTTTTTTTGGACAAAAATCAGTCTCTTCAAATCCAGAGCTATATGAGAGTCACTGCTGCAGATTATGAGGTATGGAATCTGCATAGATGGCTGTTCCATGGAGGGTACAGCTATTCTTACCTTAGTACCATTTTGATGTTAAAAAAAAAAAATTCATTAGTAACTGTGATGATTCCTCCCAATGGCCTTTCCATCCCTTCAGGGCCAATTTAGGTCAACATCTTAGGACAGGCGCAGTGGCTCACACCTGTAATCCCAGCACTTTAGGAGGCTGAGGCGGGTGGATCACTTTAGGTCAAGCGTTTGAGACCGGCCTGGCAAAAATGGTGAAACCCCATCTCTACTAAAAATACAAAAATTAGCTGGGTGTGGTGGTGCATGCCTGTAATCCTAGCTGCTTGGAAGGATGAGATGGGACAGTCACTTGAATCTGGGAGGCAGAGATTGCAGTGAGCTAGATTACACCACTGCACTGCAGCCTGGGTGACAGAATGACTCTGTCCCAAAAAAAAAAAAAAAAAAAAGAATAGAAAAGAAAAGAAAAAAGTAAACATCTGGGGCTATAATACACTTTGTTTGTTGTCATAGAAGAGAACAGGCACAGAGACATTTATTTGACTTGAATATTTATTATATTGTAATGTTCTTCTTATGGGCATATTTATAAACTAAATTATAGAAACCCTCAACAGAAGTTTATGCAATTAAATCATAATAAACCACCTACTTTCCTAAATTTTTACTGATATAGCTGGCCAAATCTGGGGAGTCTCTGGCTTGTTGAAAAAGCTGATATTATGGATATGTCCCCTGTAATTAAAAATGTCAGGTAGCTAAATCATTTTTAATTTTGTTGTATTTACTTAGAGAATTTTATACCAAATTGAAGAAAAGTAGAATGTGAGTTTTTAAAATGTGGTCATTTTTAAGCAGCAGTTACAAAAGTTACATTAAATTTGGAAGAATACAAACAAGTGAATATATTTTAAACCCATCTGTAACCTGATTGTTGGAGCTTCCAACAGTTGATACCTGGGGATCGTTTGAAAGTTATAGGACTCCAGTGGTCAAATGATCTAACAATAAGAGAGCTTAAAAGTTATTTTTCTTAAATAAATATGTCACTTGGTATCAAAAAAGGTAAAGGTTATTTAGCCACAAGTATTTAGGATTTATTAACTCAGAGCACTATAGCCTTTTTTCATGCTTGGTAGAGTGCTGGGTACAAAATAGGGTCTTAATAAAAATATTAAATAAATGGATGTATGAAAGTAAACAAAAAAGTATAATGTTTTCTTACTGAACTCAAAGGATTTATACTCACTTTAGAAAGACAAGAAATATAAATATGAATATTTATGATTGAATATCAGAATAAGTGATTTAGAAATACTGTGCTGTGTTAATGCAAGATCACTGTGGGATATAGTTTTTTGAAATTTTGTGAGAAGAGGCAGAAGTTGAGCTGTAGCTCTAAATTTAAAGATGGCTGGAAAGGGAGGGTAAGACCAATTTGGCAGTGATGAGGCTAGGAATAAAGGCCAGTAAGTTTCAAGGCCAGTTGGGCTGGAGCAATGAACTTGTACTATTAGGTATGCAGGATAAAGGGGATCATTTCAGGTAGACAAGGAAGGATCTGATGCACAGAGATCTGGTTATCAGAGTGAAGTCCACAGACATTCTGTATATACCAGAGGCTCAAGAGTGTTACATGTAAATTTTCAGTGCCATAAAAGAAATAGTACTCAAATATAAATTTCCTCAGCAAGGCAATTTACTTCTATAGAAGGGTGCATCTCACAGATGGAGCAATGGTGAGTACGCACCTGGACAAGGGAGAGGAAGAGGTTCTTATTCCTGATGCAGGTAGCCCCTACTGCTGTGTCCTTCCCCTATTGGCTAGGGTTAGACCGCACAGTCTAAGCTAATTCCAAATGGCTATCTTAAAGCAGGGGTATGAGCCGGAGCGGCAGGATGGGTAGTTTGGCGGGAAGGATGGTTACGGGACAGGTCAGAGCAGATGACCAGGGGTGACTCAGGTCAAAGCAGGTAACCAGGGCAGGTGACAAGAGCAGGTGACTGGGATGAGTCAGGACGGAGCAGGGGACTGGGAGAACAGATGTGAACTACTGATTAGAACTGGTGGAAAAGGTTGTTTACTGAAACCACAAGAAAGTTAAACTTTAAAATGGAGAATTAGAGAATAAGAGAGGAACATACTGACACTGATTCTTTGAAGAGAAACTTGGAGTTCACTCTATCTAACAAGAGAAATATTGCTAGCAAAGGAATTACAAGAGGAATTCATTGTTTTAGGGAAAGTATTCGGACAGCAAATGAATGAAAGCAAGTTGGACTATTAGGAGGGAGGGAGCAGTGTAGAAAATCAGAGCAGGTATGGGCTGGTTATAGACAAGTGACTATAGAATGG